AATGCAAATGTTTATTTTAAATTGCCATTAAACGGACCAGATTTAAAAATTATGTAAGGATCTGTAAACACATCCAGAGCATTACTATTCATAATCTTCTTTTAGACATTGCAAAGTATTACTCAGCTGCTCATTTTAGGATACAATAGTTATAAACTGAGGGTTGTGATAGAGGTTTGCAATCTTTTTCCAAAGATTTAACAACTTATCTGAATACAGAATTATTTGAAATGGGACAGTATACTTCTGCCAGGGCCACAACTTAACTGCTGCATGTCAGAGTTTCCCTCTAACTTAGAGACTCTACAGTAGACTGCCTTTCCCTTTGAGATTTATTTTTTTTTTAAACTTTTTTTTTTTTAAATATATTTTATTGATTTTTTACAGAGAGGAAGGGAGAGAGATAGAGAGTTAGAAACATCGACGAGAGAGAAACATCGATCAGCTGCCTCCTGCACATCTCCCCCTGGGGATATGCTCGCAACCCAGGCACATGCCCTTGACCGGAATCGAACCTGGGACCTTTCAGTCCGCAGGCCGACGCTCTATCCACTGAGCCAAACCGGTTTTGGCAGAGATTTATTTTTGATTAGAGATTTCTGGGCAGTTGTCCAGGGTCTCAGAACACATGGATTTACTCTCTTTCCTATTGTTAGCAAGGCACAACGTTTCTGGGGTGATTTTTGAAATTTTGCTGCAAAAAAAATAAGAGAGAGTCTTTTAAAAAGTGACTTCGAAGATGTGCATCCTTTTAATCAATTAGTCATTCTCACTGCACAATTTGTTTAGTGTCTCAGAGTCTCAAATGATCTTAATAGTTATCTAGACCACATTTCTCGTTGTCAGCTTTCTTATAAATTATGGGGATTAGGTTAATGATCTCCAAGGCCACTTCTTGCCCTGAGTTCTAGATTATACATGCAAGGTATAATGATAGCATACCATGTATACCCATATGCTTTTATTTACATTATGAATTTATTCCTCATAAGAATACTGAGATGTAGGCAACACAGGTGATGGTAACCTCATTTTACTACACATTACCTGTATAATCTAGATATAAAGGTCACAAGGGTAATAGCCACCCTAGGACAGGTATCTGAATTCCATGTCTATTTCCACTACATTTAGCAATCCAGATTGTTCAGGATTGATTCTGGTTAAGATCTGGTTTCTTGAGGGTTTGGTCTTGGTGCTTTTTGTTTTCTGATTTGGATATTAAGAATCCTATGACTATCTATGGTTTTAATCTATGAAATGTTTTGACTTATTTGATGTTCTAAACTCCAAATGCCTTGTATTTTGTTAGGTATTTAAACATTTGTCCATATTTGTATGGGTGGATGCTTTATCAGATGGGGGTCTTCAGATTATAATGTATATTTTTATTCATTTATTCAGCAAATAGTTACTGAGTGCCTGCCTGTCCTACACCCTCTCTGTGTCCCTGGGATATAGCAGTGGGCACGTCAGAAAGAAGTCCCTGTCTTTGGAGGACAATTTAAAATCTAGTGAAGTTGAGATGAATTTCATATGAATCAGAATAAAGCAAAAGTGTAATGGTGAAGAAGTTTGCTTTGGCCCTGACCGGTTTGGCTCAGTGAATAGAGCGTCAGCCTGCAGACCGAAAGGTCCCAGGTTCGATTCCAGTCAAGGGCATGTACCTTGGTTGCGGGCACATCCCCAATAGGGGGTGTGCAGGAGGCAGCTGATCGATGTTGCTCTCTCATCGATGTTTCTAACTCTCTATCCCTCCATCTCCCTTCCTCTCTGTAAAAAAAATCAATAAAATATATTTAAAAAAAAAAAGAAGTTTGCTTTGAGTAACTATTGCTATTATTCCAAGGTATGGAAGCTAGAATTAAAACAGTAGTAATTTACTGAGTACATTCTGTTTTCTACATTGCATGCATGTTCTCATTTCATCCTCACAGCACCCTGCTCTATGTATAGCTATTATTCTCATGTTACAGATGAGAACGTTGAAACTCAAAGTCTTAATTTTAAAAACATTTAAAACTCACAGACAAGTAGTTAGGATAACACACAAATCTATTTTCATAAAAACTATTTGATAGGAAGTTGCCAAAGTGTTACCTCCCCACTCCAGTCTTTTCAGAATACTTTAGTATATAGAACAAGGATATTAACCCTTGCAATCACAATAAATCCTTCAAAATTAAGAAGTTAATATTGATATACTAGAGGCTCAGTGCATGAATTCATGCACCAATGGGGGTGGGGGTGTCCCTCGGCCTGGCCTGTGGGATCAGGCCAAAACTAGCTCTCCAACATCCCCCTAGGGCAGTGATGGCGAACCTTTTGAGCTTGGCATGTCAGCATTTTGAAAAACCCTAACTTAACTCTGGTGCCGTGTCACATATAGAAATTTTTTGATATTTGCAACCATAGTAAAACAAAGATTTATATTTTTGATATTTATTTTATATATTTAAATGCAATTTAACAAAGAAAAATCAACCAAAAAAATGAGTTTGTGTGTCAGCTCTGACACGTGTGTCATAGGTTCGCCATCACGGCCCTAGGGGTCCCAGATTACGAGAGGGCGCAGGCCAGGCCAAGGGACCCCACCGGTGCAGGATTGGAGCTGGGGAGAGACGTGGGAGGTTGGCCAGCTGGGGAGGAGCCGTGGGAGGGCTCCAGGGTGTGTCCGGCCTGTCTCACTCAGTCCAGATCTGCAGGACCCCAGCAGCAAGCTAACCTACCAGTTGAAGCGTCTGCCCCCTGGTGGTCAGTGCTCATCATAGTGACAGGTCAACCAGCTGACTGACTGCTCCCTGGTGGTCAGTGCACATCATAGTGAGCAGTTGAGAGGCCTTTGCATATCAGCATATTATGCTTTGATTGGTTTAACGGCTGACCGGTCGACCAGACACTTAGCACATTAGGCTATAATTATTAGATAGGATTACTATCATTCAATCCTTAGACCTCTTTCAATTTTGCCAGTTATTCCAGTGAGTCTCTTAGAGCAAATTAATCCAGTCTAGAACAAGGTTTTGCACTTAGTTCATGTCTCCGTAGTCTCCTTCGGTTGGAACAGTTTCTTATTCTTTCTTTGACTTTCATGATCTTGAAACGTTTGAAGATTACAGACCAGTTATTTTGTAGAGAGTCCTTCAATTTGTATTTGTTGTGATAAGATTCAGGTTGTGCATCTTTGGTAGGAACATCACAGAATTGATACATGTTCTTCTCATTGCATTTTTCCTTCTCATTGCATGTTGTCAGGTGACACATGAATTTGTTTTTGTCCCATCACTGAAGTTGTTTACTTTCATTATATGATTAAGGTGGCATCTGCTAGGTTTTTCCTGTATATAGCATTACTTCTCTGTGTTTGAAGCAGAAGAGGTTCAAGTTGGGATTATAGTGTTATTGAAACCAGAACTCAGAACTCCTGGGTTAGTTTAGTACTAGGATTAATGTGTGATCCTGATATTCTGAATTGCAATGCTGAGAATATTTCCTATAAATAAATCTTGTTTGCAAGGTGCTTGGGTACTGTGGTAAGATCAGTGCAGCTCTATTATAGGTTACATAAGAAGTGAGCCACGAGAAATTAGTTACTAAATTCCAAATAAATGAACTACAAATGAAATTTTGAAGGCACCTGGTTTGTGGGCTAAGCACTGCCTATATTGATTTTATGTTCATGGTGTCAGTGAGTACTCAAGGTTATGTGCCTGTGTGTTTATCTGTGTAACTGCACATTCTAAATAACATATGCCACAGGTTTTTAAATTTTATATTGGTTCTTACCTTTGTAATGCTTTGGTACCAGAGGTCTTGCAGGACAGGTCTTTATTTTTATTTTTTTAATTTTCTCAAGCCAAATGTGGAAAGTAACATTGGTATCTTCCTCCTCTCTTATCTTTGATATTTTTATTGAGGGGAAATATATATTATTAAGTCACAGGAGACAACTTACTAATTTACTCTGAGAACTTAAAGTATTATTCACTCCCAAATTATTTGTATTTCTGAAAAGAATGCCTATTTGAGGGGAAACTTTTAACTCAATGTTTCACAAAATGTAATGTGCGTCTCACTAGATGATTTTTCAGATCATTTTGGGTAGTACACAGGTTAAAATGATAATTATGTATTCATTTTAACCTTTGTCACTAACACATGAAGTAGCGATTTCATGAAAATTACTGTTTAAAAAGATTACCAAATACAAAATTTAGTCAAATAAAAATTATTATTAAAGTAGTATAGATGGAACATGAATATGATGGAAATCATGACAGTCATATAGCAATCTTTGATGACCAGGAAACACTGATTTTATGGAAAAGATTTACTTTTTAATAGCAAAATTCAAATAATTGTTAATTAGTTGAGATGACATTTCTGGGGAGAGTCTGCAAAGCTCTCTTCAAGTTTATAGTATATAGACAGCTCTATTCTTTAGTTTATTTTTATTTTTTTTTTGTTATTTTTAATTGATTTTAGAGAGGAAGGGAGAGGGAGAGAGAGATAGAAACATCAATAATGAGAGAGAATCATTGTTCAGTTGCCTCCTGCACACCCCACAATGGGGATCATGCCTGCAACCTGGCATATGCCCTGACTGGGAACTGCACCATGACTTCCTGGTTCATAGATTGGTGCTCAACCACTGAACCATGCTGGTCGGGCTGACAGCTCTAGCCTGGAGAGGCCTAGCTGGGCTTTGGAGAGGTCAGGATCACCTAGCATCAGAGCTGGGTGTGGAGTGGGCAGGCTGTTTCTATCCTTCTCTTCATCAGTATCAGTTATCAAGAATTGGAATAAAAGTCATTCATCTTGGACAGACTAACACTAAGCATGGTCATTTCAGGGTCTCCTGACTCCCCTCCCCTCGAATGGACGGCTCTGGTAGAACATGTTCAAATTTGTGTCATGATAAATCCACTTTGTGGTGTGATCAGTTTCCTGAGTCTAAGACTGGTTACTGTGTACACTTCTTTCCTTCTCCGTTTTTCCAGGATTCTCTCAACATGAGGTCCTCCCTGCAGGCAGTCACGCTCTGGGGGAAGAAGGCCCCTTCCCACAGCATCACCACCATCATGATCACTGATGACCAGCAAACAATTGTGACTGGGAGTCAGGAGGGTCAGCTCTGTCTCTGGAGTCTCTCACCTGATCTAAAGGTTAGTGAAAATATATAGAAATAGACAACACTCACAAAATAAGCACAGCCTGCGTCCGTCGGCAATGACTGTGGAAGGTTGGCATGATTGTTAGGGAGATGCTTCTTAAAGTCATAAATTGGTTTTACTTCTGGATTTGGAGAGAATGAAGTGTTACATGGTGGATCAAGATCATATTGGAAATTATATTATGACTATTGCTATTTTAGTTACCAGATATTATCACCCTTTAAGCTATGCTGAGTTTTACTATTTTATATCCTGAATTATATGTTTAAGTAACTGAACTACAGACGTGTAAGTGTAATTCTAAAAATAATGGCTCATTAATCTAAACAAAGGGCACCCTTGAAAACCACTATTAACTAAATGAGTAATATCTTAATTATCTGGGTGTTTCTGTCAGTTGGCCTTCCTGCTATTCTTTTAGTCTCCACTTGCCTGTAATTGTCACAGATCATATCACAAAGCCCTAAATCCAATTTACTATTGTCGTCCTCCTGTTTCAGAACCTGACCTCACCTAAGATTTGGCCCATTGATTAGCGATTAATTGTCTATGTCCCAAGTCATAAACATTTAACATATTGGAAGAGATATTTGCTTAGTGCTAGCAGCCTGTGGACCCAATTTGAACATTTAAACTAATGATGTACTTAAAGTATACTGCCCTCATTAAGAAGCCTTTTAAAGATCAAAGACTATTTTTAGCCTTTAAAGTTTGCCACTTTAAAACGTAAATTAACAATTAATTGTAATTCTGTTTTATAGTGTGATTAGTTAACATCTCCCATCCCTGAGCAGTTTCCCTACAGGACTGCCAAGAACTGCATCGCAGAGCAGCTCAGTTCAATGTTAATGAGTATTCCTGAGAGAAGGAACTGGTGTTATTTCAACAGTTGAGCTTTGAAAATGGTGGCCCTCACACGTACTATCTCATCTCTCCTGATTTAAACTCAGACTCCTAAATGGCTAAAAATGTCTTGCTATTCTTTTTAATATTGAAGTGTTGTGTTTTCTGGCTGGAATAGTTGTCTTATAATATGTAGATTGCTATAGCTTAAGAAATTTCGAATCCTCACTTCTGTATCTTTTTAGGTATGTTCCTGGTATTTATTTAACATTTATTCAACATGCATTTGTTGAGTGGATATTATAAGTGAGGCAGTATGCTAGGTACCTGCGTTCAAACATGAACGAGAAGACCTGGTGCTGGCTGCCCAGGGGTTGCAGTAGAGGAAGGGTGCCGGCGAAGGCAGTGCAGTTGTGTTATAATACAAGGTATTCTAAGTAGGGCGTGGTCTGCACTGCATCGTCAGTGGGGAACTAAGCCCTGCTTTCCTTAGAAGCAGGTCTTTAGCTTGGGGTTAGAGCAATGGTTCTTGCCCTCCCCACACCCCAAGAGACATTTGGTAATGATGGCAGAAACTCGTTGGTTGTTACAACTAGAGGAAGGGGGGTGCTACTGGCATGGAGTGGACAGAGACCAGGGATGCTGTAAACATCCCCTAAGGCACCTGACAGCCCCTCACAACAAAGAATTATCCCATCCAAAATGCCAACACTGCAATAATGGTATTGAGAAAGCCACAGTTACAGATATGATGTAGGAACTGGAATCCGATCAGCAGGGACGGAAGAAACATGGAGAACCATTAGGGAGTTTTAAATAGGAGGTTGTATCAGCATTGTGTTTTGGAAATTTACTGTGAGGACAGGTTGAGAAAGTTAATAACACGAATAAGGGACCGATTAGGATCAATGTGAGATTTTCCACATGAGAGTTCTCCTTAACATTTTCTATGGCTAACCATAGGGCCAGAATGAATGAACATCTCTTATTTTTCTCATGAATCTCACCCAACAATGTATCAACTATTGGCAGGAAAAAAAATCTAGGTTTTTCAAAAATCAAGGACATTTTTTTTAATCCTTTTGGGATCGGAAAGGCAGTCAAGTGAGTGGTCCATCATTGATATTTTAATACTTAGTGGTTTAATTTAAAAAAAAAGAAAGAATATAAAAAGGCATAATTTGGGCGAGGGAGGTAGAAGGGAGGCCTTAAGAACATGGGAGATTGTAAGAGAGAAGGGACATAAATATGTGGGTGATGGAGTGGCTGTTGGGCAGTTTGAAGCTTAAGGGCATATCAAGGTGAGGACAGCAAGTAGAAGAGAAGGAAGTTGCAGAGGGTGGAGTGTAAAATAATCTGGGAGCATTTATTTTCTCTTTATACTAAACTTAGAAAGTGCCTTCCCCTTTCCAAAAGGATTCAGGTAAGAAAATACATCAGGTTCTGGGGCAGTGATGGCAAACCTATGACACGCGAACTCATTTTTTTGGTTGATTTTTCTTTGTTAAATGGCATTTAAATATATAAAATAAATATCAAAAATATAAGTCTTTGTTTTACTATGGTTGCAAATATCAAAAAATGTCTATATGTGACACGGCACCAGAGTTAAGTTAGGGTTTTTCAAAATGCTGACACGCCAAGCTCAAAAGGTTCGCCATCACTGTTCTAGGGTCTTAAACACTCACTTGCCACCACATATGGTTGTAAAACAAACTCAAGGACACTTACTTATGCAGTCATTAGGTTACACAGATGTGGTGTTTTGTTGTTGTTGTTGTTGTAGATCCCTCCTTCAAGTTTCTCAGTCTAATGTAGGAGACAGACTTTAAGTTGTAAAGTAGTGGGATCCCCTCTGTTTCTATAAATATGACATATATCATATTAGTGAATGCATACAGTATTTGTCCTTTTGCGACTTGCATTTTTCACGTAGCACAGTGATGGCGAAACCATCATAGGTTCGCCATCACTGACTTAGCATAATGTCCTTAAGATTCACCCATGCTGTAGCATGTATCGGAAGGTCCTTCCCATTTAAGGCTCAAATATATTCCATTGTTTGTATAGACCACATTTTGTTTATTCATTCACCCATCAATAGACACTGGGGCTGCTTCTACCTTTTGATTAATGTGAATAACACTGCTGTGAATCTGGGTGTACAACTATCTGTTTGAGTTACTGCTTTTACTTCTTTGGGGTATATATCCAGAAGTAGGATTTCTGGATCATATGGCAGTTCTATTTTACATTTTTTGAGGAATTGCCAAACTGGTTTACATAGCAATTTACATTTTATATTCCTCACCAGCAGCGTGCAAGGGTTCCAATCCTTAACATTCTCATCAACACTTGTTATGTTCTGTTTTGTTTGTTTTATCATAGCCATCCTAATCAGTATGACATGCAATTATTGTGGTTTTGAAGGGAAAAGCTTTCTGAGGATGATGGTTGAACTGAACTCTGGAGTATGCACAGGATTTGAAGAGGAAAAGAAGGTCAGAGGAGAATGCAGACAGAATAAGTGTGTATAAGAAGCAGAAGTATTTTGCTTTCAGGGAACTGGTAAAAGTAGTTGAGTAGGCCTGGAACACAGTTGAGTAGGTGAGTTAATGGTGATAGGTAGGTTAAGGGATGGAGTAGACTCAGTTTGGAGTTTGACATACTGAGAGGTTTAGATTTTTTTTTAACTAACAAGAGCTAACACTACATGTTAATTAAACATGGTGCTATTGAGAGGATTGAAGATGTTTTATGCAGAGAGATAACATAATACTATAGTATTACATTTGTGATTTAGAATATCACTGGGTATTAATGTGAAGGGCACTTTGAAGGGAGGGGGAGATAAGGGCCGGGGATTATGGATAGCAGAATTCTACAGCACTTTAGTCAGGCGAGTTTTTGAGCATGAACCAAATCAGTGGCCCTGGGAAAGAAGAGAAAAGGAAGCCTGGACAGTTGTAAAGAAGAGAGAACTGGGCAACAGTTAGATGTGGGGTAGAGGAGCAGGAACAGTTAAAGAATCCATCCTTTCAGATTTGGGGTTTGAGTGATGGGTGGGATGGGTGGGGTAGGTGGGATAATGGCATCATGTACTTGTATAAGGAATAGAGGTGATCAGAGAGTAGGAGTAGGGAGGGAAAGAAGGTTGTTTAAGTTCTGGACATTTTGGAGTATCCAAATATTCATCAGAGGATTGGGTGCCTATCTCAGTGTTTCCCTGTCTGTGGGTATAGGATGGCAGAGTAGAGATTATGCAGGCTGTTTCCAGGCTCAGGGTCTCCCCAAAGACCTCTGGTTTCCCTGGAACTTTTGTCTCCTAACGAGGAGCCTCTCCAAGTCCCACGCTAGGAACTTTCTCACTTGGGTTTGCTGGTGTTGATTGCTGGTATTCATCACACCTTTGAGCATAAAAAGGGTGAGCTGAACATGTATTTCCTTAGTATTGGAATGCTCTATTTTCTTTCTGTTTAATACTCACAAGGAAACGTAACAATGACAACATGAAGAAAGAATGGAGATACCTGGATAGAATTCTAGTTCATATTTACCAACTTTGTATTATTGGGCAAATGACTTATATTCTTTGAACCTTGATTTCCTTACCTTTGAAATGAAGATTAAGCACTGTTCATAGTGTATGAGTGCCTGGGATTTGGTAGATGCTGCTCAACTTGTGTGTTCTTTGCTTTTTATCATCTGTGCCCTTGGAGGTAGCTGGGGTGGGGGTCGGGGTGGAGAGACAGTGCTTCATAGAGGGACAGCCAATGGACAGAAGCAAAGATCTCCTGGCTTTCATCATGATAATGACTAGGTGTGACTGCAGAATTTTTAAATTATTCTTCACAGCAGTTCTAAAGTATGATAAAAATAGAAGACTAGTGAATTAACAAGCTTATTCAACTGCATGTGGGAATTTAGTAGCAGAATGAGAACTTCATATGAAAAGTAGTGGTGTTCCATTCTGATATCTTGTCCATAGTGGATTTTCTCTGGAGGAGGGAATGTCCCAGTGTGCCCCAATTTATTCTTTAATTCGGTCTGCAATATGTTGGACATGGGGTTAAATTCCTAGGGGTAAGCATTCCAAGTACGATGATGGGGACATTTATTAATGTTGTTCTGAGTTGGAACCTTCTGAATTTCCCAGGAATAAGGTAAAGAGTCAGAACTTGGATTGAAAGTGATTCTAATCAACTACAAAACCCTCCTTGTAGCACTTGAAATGTAGTCTGATAACAGACTTTTTAAAGAAATATTTTTGGTTATGATAGAAATAAGATGAAGGCAGAGAACAATTACACTATGAAATAATTTGTTCTCATTGATATGGTTGGGTTATCATCCACATACATCTATATCTGCAGAGTTCAGGAAAAAAAACATCTTGAATATTAATTCATTAGGAAATTAGATTTTTATTACACATGAGACAAGTTTTATTAACCACATACTTTCTAATTATTCAAATTAAATTTTAGTCTCTTAATACAACTTCTCTATTTCAGGGGATCTTGCATGTTTTCCATTTTGTAGTTTGATTTTTATAATCAAGTTTTACAAAATAATGAGGAATAGACTTCTTTCAAAAATGAAATAATGGAAGGATTAGGCCTCAGTGCCATAGTTTTAAATTCACAGATTAGAAAAAAAAACCTGGCATTTTAAATAATAGCTTAGTTGCAATTTCATTTTTAATATAGAAAAGTTTATTTCAAAGGCAGGAAGTCAAATAAGGAATTATAATGGTTAGAAAAGGAAAATATTTTTTTGTGTGTTTTGTAAACTCATTTCTGAATTCTGAAACGAGCATATTAATATCCTACTATCATATGAGGCACATTTTGTGCATAATAAACATCAACACTGACTTATTTGTATTCAAAAGCCAGATGTTGCAAAACTGGTCTGGCCACCTTCTAGGTTTCATAGTGGATACAAAACCAAAAACAAACCAAAAAATTTATACAACACAGTTCCTTTACTTAGAAGTTTATTGTTCTGCGGATTTGGCTATGCCACGTATCAGCTTTCCTGATGTATGTAACATAACACAGCAGGATTTCCTGAGCAGAATTTTAAGTATATACGCGTCGTGCATATTGTTGTATGTCTTTAAATGAAATGTTTCCAGCTCTTTAAATGCTTCCCCTCATCATTTTCAGATTTCAGCCAAAGAGCTTCTGTTTGGTCATTCAGCTTCAGTAATATGTGTGGCGCGAGCCAGAGACTTCTCTAAACAGCCCTATGTCGTTAGTGCTGCTGAAAATGGGTAGGTATGATGTGTGAAACTTTGTACGCGTCTCCATTTCCTCCCTATTTTTAAAAACTGATGGGGCACAGAGTTCTAGGGTCAAAGGAAACCTTAGTGATTAACATGTTCCTTTTGTACATAGATTTTGAGAGGTTGAGTCATTTGTGTGATGGTCCCGAGGAATGTAATCCGTACTATGGCTCCCAATATTGAAACATCCCAGCGCGTGTGTAGCCTGCCTTCCGGCAGCCTCACTGTGTAAAGGATACTGGCAAATGCCAGCGATTATAGAATGGAAAGTGGAAAAGTCGGGGCGCTTGTCTTTTTTCATGTAGCAACTCACACACTTTGAGCTCTTAAGCAAACCCATCCAAGCCTTCGCAGTTCTGTGAAACAATTCAGTTGTTACAATCCTCATGTTGTACACTTGTCTGAAGTCATTATAAAATGAACAGAGGAGAGGATTCAATTGTAAGTGGAATGGTGGGAGAGAGAAGGGAAAGGAACATAGACAGTGATTTGGGTCTAGGAGAAGCTAAACCCCACTGATGAGTTATTTGCCAGATTATACTCAAGAATACAAAATGGAATTAGCATGCATTTGTGAATGAGGGATTGGGTTACTGGTTGAAACAAGAGAACCCCTCCTTTTTTGGTTTTAATCTGAAGAGAAATTACATGGCTCTAATTTCTGAGAACCAAAATAATGAGGAATCAAGGGTCCAACCTGGAGAAACTAAATAGTTTATGACAAAACAGCTAGAGGAACTGATATCTAAAAAGTACTTATTTACATAGCTTGTACCAAAAAAGTACCTATTCCCATAATTGTTATACTTAGAGAAATTGAATTTTGGACAAGGCTAAGTAAAGTGAAATGTCTTAGTACCTTCTTTTTTAACAGTTGCCAGTAATTCTCATACAATAGGGCTGCCACAAAACCTGCTACACATACTGAAATATGTATTCCCACTCTAGAGAGTTTGGGTGTGTGTGTGAATTTTTCCTGAGTCTACTTGGAGAACTGAAAGAAATCATAGCTATGTGAGAAATAGATCTGAAATGTAACTGAGTTCCAGATTGAGGTTTTTTGCCCACAGTGGTCTAGCTCCAAAAAAGAGTCTAGAGTTAATGGGCATATTCTTGATGATTGATGAATTCAGCTGTATGAACCCTGTGACTATGATTATTAAACAGCCAAGGAGTCTAGTTTGGTCTTTCTTTTCCAATAGAATTTGAGTTTTCTAGAACTCTGTGTATTTGGTGTCCAAAACGTATCCTGCATCTATAATATATTTCTTAGAGCTACTGCATATTTAACATATTCTAATTTAATCTCTTAGAAATTATGAAAATTACTAGACTTGGCCTATTATTTCCCACACAACAATGATTTTGTATAGTTTTCAGAAGTCCTAGGATATGGCTGGGTGCTTAGCCTTTTTGCCTCCAAGATGATCAGAGGGGACATAAAATTGCCTCATAACCCAGTTTTTCATGTGTTTTTCCCCCCTAAGTATTAAATGTATAAGCATAAATCCTAAGATTCAGGAATCCCAGTAAATTCTGGGGTAAATGAAAGGAAATAGACAATTTGAGACCTGATTATGATACAATAGAGTGCCTGAGAGAGAGAGAGAGAGAGAGAGAGAGAGAGAAGAGAGAGAAGAGAGAGAAGATCCTAAAGTAGTCAGTGAGAAAAAGCATTGTTTACAAAGGAATGCTAATTAAACTGAGCTGACTTCTCAACACTAAGTGAAAGTAGACACAGGGAAACATCTTCAGATGGTATCTATCAATTTAGAAGTGTATCTCTAGCAAATATACCTTCAAAACACAGGGCAAAATAGTAACATTGAAGTCAAATACTAGTAAAACTTTCCTTCGATGCCAACAGATGTTCTATAAGTAACAAAATTCTAAATTATCTTCTTGAGTAAGGACAGTGATTTCAGAAGGGAAATATGAGATGGGAAAAGGAATATTGAACAAAATAGAGCAAATATTTTAAAAATGCAAAGAAACATAAACTGTAAGACACAATAATATTTATTTACACTCCCCACTACATCGCCTCACAATCCTAATCAGCAGTTTCATATAATAGTGTAGTGATCAGATTCCAAATGTTCTGGTATTTTAGCAGTATGTGAAGATGTTGATTAACTTTAGACTTTAAGCCAGATGTACATGGTGACATTTCTAGGGTACCTGCTGAAAGAACAGACAAAAGAAATAAAAATAAAACAAATAGAATATATAACTTCCGACTTAAAAAAGAAAAGAACACCATGTTGTCTAATCCAAAGAAGACACAAATTAAATGGGACACATAGAGAGCACAAAAGAAGAGAGTTGAAATAACTTGGACTAGAACAGCAATCTAAATTATGTGACGGTTCTAAGCCCTTCAATTAAATTACAAAGATTGGCAGACAATTAAAAATAAAACACGAACCGGCATAAGGACATGGAAAAGTTAAGTGTAAGTGGATAGAAAAAAAATATTTATCAGATGAATAACAACCAAAATAAGATGGATACGGTAGTATTAATATTTTGTGTTAATAAATATTTTATATTAACACATATTCCTTAGGGCAAAACGTCTTGTCATTGATAAAGAGGGCTTTTGCATATTAGTAAAACTTTTAAGCACCAGCAAGAGATGAGACTAAAGAGATCAGCAAACATCCTCACTGGAGCTTGCATCAGATTACCTGCACAGCTTGTTGAACTAAAATGTGTGGGCCCCACCTTGGAGGAATGGGTTGAGGTTCAAGAATTTGCATTCTCTAACGCCTTCCTGGACATTGCTGGAATATTCCAGGACATTGCTCATGCTGCTGGTTCAGAGAACATATTTGGAGTAGAGAGGGTCGAAACATCAGCATCACTAGGGGAGCTTTGCCTGATGCCCAGGCTTCAAGCCTGGACAGTACGATTTAATTAGCCTGGCTTGATGTCTGGGTTGAGTCCCAGATATCAGTAATTTAAATATATATATATATATATTATTGTATTCAGAGAGAGGGAGGGAGAGGGAAAGAGAGAAACATCAGTGATGAGAGAGAAATCATTACTCGACCGGCTCCCAAATGCCCCTCCCCTCACTTGGGATCAAACCCGCAACCTGAGCATGTGCCCTGACTGGAAATTGGACTCTGACCTCCTGGTCCATGGGCTGATGTTCAATCACAGAGCCACTCTGGCCAGGCCAGATATTAGTACTTTTGAAAACTCCCTGATAATTCTAATGGATAGCCAGAGTTGAGAACCACTAGTTTAGAGATAGACTTACCTAGGAACAGGCTAACTGACCAGGAGATGTTCGAAACTCCACGCGCTAGGACTCCAACACAGAATTATGAATTTAAAATTTCTGAGGGTATTTTTTGAACTATTCCCAGAAGAATTGAGAACCATGCTGATAAACTCAAATTCCTTTAGAGATAAAAATTTTATATTGATGACTGCTTAAGATTCTATTTTTTTTTTTTTTACTTTTGGCACACATTTGTTTTTTTCGTTTTGTTTTGTTTTGTTTTTTTACCTTTGAGATACATTATTTCACTTTCCACCATTCTTTCAGTCTTTTTTTTTTCAGATACACACAGATACTCTCACTCATGACTCAAGTTATTTTTGGAGTAAGGTTGGATATTAACAGAGATGAAAAAACATGAATATTTTATTTCTAGAACATGGTTTCTTAACCTTAGTACTCATGACATTTGAACCCCTAGAAAATTCTTTGTTGTGGGGATCATCTTATGCATTCAGGATGTTTAGCAGCATTCTGGTCTTTCTCCACTAGATGCCAGCCGTGTGTTCCTAAATTGTGACAACCCAAACTATCTCTAAACGTTGCTAAATATCCTTTGTGGGGCAAAGTCATCCAGGTTGAAAATCACTGATTTAAAAATTGAGTCCTGGTGTCTCACTAGAAAAGCAAAAAAGAGCCTGCAAATCACAAAGTACAATTAATAATATTAGTCCATATCTTGTTTCTTAATAGCTTCTCCCTTAATGTCAATAACATTTTCATTTCTTCCACAAAAAAATGTGTCAAAAATAGAAGAATATTACAGAACCATTCTGAAACAGCTACTTTGGTTTTTGTGAACAGAAACCATAGAGATTTAAACTGCCTTACACTAGATGCATTTTACAGCTGTATTTCATAACTGTGTTTATCTTTTTGTAACATATATGTAATCAAGTCAGTTTTCTAAAAAACGAAAATTTTTTAAACATTAAGTTGCAAGGATGATTTCAGGATTTCAGAGGCAAAGAAATAAACCCCATCGACGTTAGGCCAAATGTGGCCTCTTGGTGGCACTGTTCATTTTTGCAAAAATGCTACCTGGGCTCCACAAGGCACAGCGGTCTTGATGCATTATGCTTTTCAGAATATGTAGTTTAAGTTCAGTGAAATCAACCATTTTCAAGAGGAGGCAGTTTCCATGGAAAGGTTGTTGTACTGTCAGTCCAAAAGGCTGTGATAGCTGTATCCTCACAATCTGTTGCAGGTCAGGTTGGCACTAAGGGAAGGTGTGCAGGCTGGCGGCAGGGTGTAATTACCCAGACAAAAAGACACAGATACAGTATGTCATCCCTGCTAATGACCACGACATTTTCTTGCCCAGTAATCTGTAACAAAAAGGCCCATAAACGATCAGGCCGCATTTAAGTGCAGCGCTAAAGAAAAACTTAGTGGCACAAAAATTATTCCAGCCAATTGAGTGGAAATGACAGAGAATAATATGAGGTTATCTCTGCTAGGGAGATGTGTGTGTGGAATGTCACCAACGGGCAGTGCGTGGAGAAGGCCACCCTTCCCTACAGGCACACTGCGATCTGCGTAAGTACGGGCGCTTCCTTCAGCGCATTTCTGGGTTCTGCGACTCCTTCAGGGCATCGCCATGCTCACATTCGAAGAAATGTCTTTGGAGTATATGTTTTTTTCTTGAATGTTTTATTTTTGTCATTGGACTATAATGAGGTCAGTTATCATCTTTTATTTTGCCATTTTTCTTCCTCCAAAGTTATTGTTCAGCCATTTTTTTTCTGATTCTTAAAATAGATAAGTTTGAAAGACAATTTTCTTTTTTCCTTAGGTACACTCACAACACACACAGACATACACATACACACATACACACAGAGAAAAGTTTTAATGATGTGCTATTTTATAAAGCAGCAAGAGGTGTTTGTTTTTCCTGGTTTCCAATTTTAACCTTTTTTGGCTGGATAGATTCTGATTTTGTTATCCATGAAGAGAGCAAGAGGCATAGTCATAACCTTTGTAATCACTTCCCAATATTGAATACGGGTCATGGCTTTTGGTAGACAGACTCCAGCATAGATATAAGGTAGTCGCACGATCCCAGTGGTACTGACAAATTTTCAGATTTCACTCATTGCTTTTAGCATCCATGACCTGCACTGCAACACGTACAAACTCTCTTCAGCAACCAAAACTGGTGCAGTGAGAGAGCCTCAAGGGTAGACTATACTACACAATCTTTAATGAAAGCCATTCTCAAAACTTATTCAGCACCAGAATTCCTCAAATGCTTTTATCTCTTCTTAACATGTAGCCATGTTGCTAGAATAAGGAATCTGTGTTTGTTGTTGTTGTTGTTGTTTAGTTCTACACAGCACTCCAGAAATAACAGACTTGTGAACTTTCCATGATTTGGAATAAGATTCCCTCTTCACGACAGATCCCCCTTTCTATAAAGAAATTATGAAATACAAATGAGACTAAGGCGCAACATCAATACTTTAGAAGTAGGGAGTAACTTCAGTCAAAGAAATTTCAGTTGCTCTTCAGTCTGATACCTTAATTGAATAGATGATAAAATTAATATCCAGAGAATTTATGTTAATTGCTAGTGATAATTACATTTTTGCTTGAATTCCATTTGCACAGTATTACCACTGCTCATTCCGGATGACAGGAGAAGGCTGGCTTCTATGCTGTGGAGAATATCAAGACATTCTTATAATTGACGCCAAAACCTTGGTTCTAGTTCACACTTTCACATCGTCCCAATCTCCTGATTGGATCAATTGCATGTGCATCGTTCACTCCATGAGAATTCAAGGTAATGGTTGGGTAATACTTAACACTAAGAGATTGTATAGAAAAATATCACTTTGGAACTATTTGTTAAGTTATTGGGCAAGCATTTCAAATGCTCTTTATGTTTACTTGGTAGTGAGGATAGATCCCTAAGCCAGATTAAGAAAAACTGGGAACACCCAGGCAAGTGGTTCAGGGTGTTGTTGGAAAGTCGGCACAAGGTTAAAATGTGGAAGAGGAGAACCCGTGTGTCCACCACCCAGTTTTGCTTGGTACATTTTTAAAAGTGACAAGAATGGGTTTCTTGTGGATTAGCATGACTCTTGGAACTTTGATCCTGCTGTATCTTCTAGCTGTGCTAGTGAAGAGAATTTCATTTCTATCATGAGCGACTGCCCAGGAAAAGGAAGGCTGGCTCCATACTGACATCTGGAATAGGAAGGTGTGATACTGCCAACAGGATGGTTTTTATGTGGTTCTGCTTTTAGTGCGGCTCTCCTTTTCTATGGGGTCACTTTGGAATTTTAAAAATCAATGTAAAACCTAATCTAAAATGTTTATTTAAGAAAATAACAAAGCTGAATATTTTCCACTGGCATAGACCTGCATAATCCCTAAAAGACTATGAAATGATCTTTACATCAGCCAGTTACTGCAGTGATCGGCTGATATGCAACCATTGTTGTTTTTGCAGAAGATTCTCTCTTGGTGGTATCAGTTACTGGTGAACTCAAAGTGTGGGATCTCTCTTCATCTATCAACAGCATTCAGGTGGGCTTGTGAAACTTTTCCCCCCTCCATATGTATGGACATATTTTAAATTACAGGGATAGTACATGCTTGTTTTTGGAAGTTCAAATCATATAGAAGAGTTTACATTTTATCTCTGTATATCTCTGTGTGCTTCCCTTATTCTTCTTCCTGCTTCCAGTGCCAGGGGTGGGCATTGGAAACAGTTGAAGTGTGTCCTTCCATCCTTTTCTCCATGCACATGCAAATGTTTTTATCTACACACACACACACACACAGATTATGTTTTAATTAAAAATACAAATTGTAGAAGAATCTCATTCTGTCCCTTACAGCAGGAGACCCTCTCTTTCTTCTGGGTGTGTGTGAGCAGTGGGAGGGAGATCGCTATGCACAGCCAGGGGTCACATACCCTGGGGGTCCAGTATATTCCCCAGCTCCCTGGCTTTGGGCTACAAGTTGAGGTGATGGACAAAAGAACAGTCCTAGTGTTTGTTGTGCTTGCAGGCGGGCGAGGGAATTGTTTTGGCTGCCCCCTGGGGCACTGGGCTCTCCTCAGGAGTGTCTTGAATGAGGAAGCCTCAGAATTGTATTGGCGTCCTGAGGCCCAGAAACACACACCCAGCAATGTCAGATTGCGAATATAGTGTTCTGGCCACTCTTCGATCTTTTCAAAAACATTTTGTGTATTTTTCTGTGATAGCAATTAAGATACTGCAGGGTTTAAAAATTTTATTTTCCTTTTTTTTTTTTGGTTTGTCTTTCTGCCAAGTCTGAATGTCAGTAACTCAATCTTGACGTCCTCAGCATCCAGCCTAGTGCCCCACAGGATGTTTGTTGAATGAGTTTACATGATGAATCCTTGAGTCCAAGTGGGTTTCCTGCTCATGGTATTTTTTGCAAAGTAACTTCATAGTTCAGAAGACTAAAAAGGAAACTGGGGGTACTTTTCATTTTTTAATAATGGTGTGATCTGCTTCAAGCGTTCAGAGAAGCAAATCTTCGGATACAGTTGCATGTAAATGACCTAGAACTAGTACTAAAATGTTTTCATTCCTTTTGAAGGAAAAGCAAGATGTCTATGAAAAGGAATCCAAATTTCTTGACTCCCTGAACTGCCGGACAATACGATTTTGCACATATACAGAGAGACTTCTATTGGTGGTATTTTCTAGATGTTGGAAGGTATTATAAAATAACATAATAAATACCAAGGATATACAAATATAAATTTTTAATTTTTTTCTTGTTCAGTGCAGCAGTTATAAGAATATGATTTAAAATATGTTACAAACTCTTTATAATGTTATTACCACAGCATGGATGACCTGTCTTTTCTGACTGACTTTTATTAGTTCTGCTGTTTTGCCTCTCAGGAGATTATACATGTAATAGTAAATGCTCATGTTATTAAGAACAAACCATATTAATAAGGGGCATTTATCGCTAGATTATTTTAAAAAGTTGATGCTTGCTCTTTAGAATTAAAAATAAAACTAATACTTTCACCTACATAAATTCGTCATATATATATATATATATATATATATATATATATATATATTTCTTTGTTTGCTTTGTTACTACATTTGTTTTTTAGGGAATGTATATTTCTTTTTTGTAAATATATTCACTGATGTCTCCAAGAAGATTTTTTTTAAAAAAGCAAAGTTACCATCACTTGATAGCACTCTCTTTTCCTTTGATGTTTCATATACGGGGTTCAGTTAATGACTCTATATTGTCTTATGTATATGCTGATATGTTTTAAAACAAAAATACTAAGTGTATGGTCTAACAAATGATTTCTACTATTTAGATTTTTTGTGTAATAAATTGTCAAATGTTAAAGTGGATTACCCATATAGGAAGAATAAAATCATATAGAGATTTTGGGGTTTCTAGTCTCTGTGCTTAATGGACACATTAGCCAAATAAAGTTTACCTACTCAAACCTACCTTAGGACAATAAGAAAAACTAAGTACTAGTAGGATAGCTTAATACATGAGTACAGTGTGGGCTATGATCAATACTTAATATGTTGTTGTATTAATACTGTCATCTAAATAGTCTTGATGAGCACAATTTATCTTTCACCTCATTGGCAGATTAGATTGGAAGCTTTTGTTAATATGCATCCTTCATTTTGGGCTTTAGGTTTATGATTATTGCGATTTTTCCCTTCTGCGGACTGAAGTCAGTGGAAGTGGGCAGTTCTTTGCTGGTGGAGAGGTGCTTGCTGCTCACAGAATCATCATCTGGACAGAAGATGGTCACAGTTACATCTATCAGCTGCTGAACAGGTGGGCTCAGATGGGAGCGGCATACAAAACATTCAGGTTGGAAATGAACTTTGGGAGGTTTATTATGGAAAAATCCCTGCATGCTGCCCAAGATCAAAAACCAGAACAAAACAACTTTGGCACTGGAAGATTTACTCTGGGCTTGGTAGGCTCCGGCCTTTGTATAAAACAGCAGGGGATGAAGGAATGAGATTAGCCATGTATAACTTGTACAGCTGGTGCTGGGTTTTCAAAAAGTCACTTGTAATTATTAACCCAACAATTTCTAACTAGAGTTTAGAAACTTGAATGGTACCATCCGGCTTTTGAAATTGGGGAGGGGAAAAAAACACACGAATAAAGAACCCCAAAGTTCTAAACTTCGCTTTTTATTTTTTGCCACGCAGTGGGCTTTCAAAAAGCGTATACCCTGCTGATGGAAGAGTACTTAAAGAGACCATTTATCCTCATTTACTGTGCTCTACTTCTGTGCAGGAAAATAAGGTAATGCAAGAAAAGGGGCTGCTCAGTGCTGTTTCACTCCCATTCTCAGATAAGTGTTGCTTTGTCTGTAACAGAGTCAGGCTTGAAAAATTGAATTGAAGATTCACATCAATTTGTTAATGAGAAAATCAAATCTAATGGTTAATGGCTACTAAGGAGAAAACTTTGCATTTAAAAAATCTGTTTTCAAGTCTGATTAAGCAATACATATTTATTATAGAAAAATTATAAATGTTTTTTAAAAGGAGGAGTTAAAATGCCAACTCTGCCACCATAAATATTCATTGTAAATATGTTTTATTATGCGTACTTACTCATTGTAATTGGAAAACTTTTTAAATATTTGAAAAGTTGCAAAATTATTACAATTATCAGTCATTTACCTCTTGCCTAGATCCACCAGTTGCCAACATTTTACTTTATTTAGTCTCTCTCTCCCTCTCTCTCTCTCTCTTCTTTCTCTCTGCACACACACACACACATATACTTTTCACTGATCCTTTTAATATATGGTTTGATACAACATTAACCTTTTAATATATCTTTCCAATTTTTAAACTTTATCAAAATATTTATATCCCGCTTTTAAAAAAATATTGAAATCATTTTCACATGTATTTACCTCTTTTTATGAATAATTGTTCTAATTAAAACAAATTTAATTACTATTCCAGACAAATTTGAGGATATAATTGTGAGCTTTTACTTGGCTGAATTGTATCTTTGACACGCTATGAAGCCTGAAAATTTAAGCAGTTATTTTATTATAGTAGTGTTAACCAAAGTGGTGTGTGTTTTTTTTTAACCTATTGGACTTAGTCATCAGTTAATTATCCAAAAGGCATTTCATGGAGAATGGAGGAGTTTTGAATTACTGATGTGTCAACCAAGGAAGCATGTTAATTGTTACAGAATGGTGGTTTGCATAATCAGACAGCATAGCTGTCGGAAATCCTTCAGTCCAGTGATTGTTCCACTGACATATCTGTGAGGTTTTGTTGCAAAAAGTTGATTAAGAAGCTGTCAGCCAAAAACTAGAACTGCTGGTACCGCTGGGGCGTAGGCAGACCTCAGAATTATGGCATTCAGCGGTATTTCTACAGCCGTCTGTGGGCAGCAATGGATCTGTGTCCTGTTGATCACAAAAGCAGCATTGTGGCTGACTCAAAAGGCGTTTTTAGTTATTTTGGAAGGGCCTGCCCTTTTTTCCTCTAGATTGCAATTTTACAAAGCACAGTTCTCCCTAAAAGCTACATGTAAGTAGTGTCCTTTAGGAGCTTCTAGTCTACTGCAAGTATAAACACTGTGCACATAATTACAAGGAAAAAATACAGCAATTACAAAGCAACTTTAAAAAATACTAATCTTGTGGGAAGCTACCTGGTTTTGTTTCTCAGAATGTGAAGATACATATTTATGGGCTCTCTATCAGTGATTGTTGTTTAGACAACTGCAGTTGTGTCTGTATTTGAAAGGTGGGAAGTGCTTGTGAACCAGTGCAATATGCCAGAATAATCTAAAACTGAAAGATGATGGTCTACCTATTCTTAGACCCTTGCTTGCCCTTTATCCAGCCAAGAAAAGGAAGTCAGATATTATTTACGTTATTCAAAACATCATCACTATTCACTAATTATAAGACTTCTTAGTCAGGCATGCAATTAAGTAGTGAAAGCATTTTGGTGGAAGGGGGAGATGATTTTTTTAGACCTGGTGAGCTTAGAAAAGGGTGCCGTGTAAACATTTAGTATTTGGGGGGAGGCAGGGATAGATACCATAGAATTTAAATCTCAGGAATTGATAGTAATATGCTCTCAGGGTTACCCTTTGGGATGTAGGGGACATATCTGCTGATAGAGTTGTGGTAGCAAGAATGGGGCCTTCCCTTCCTTTCAGCAGCTTTCTTAGAGTCTTCCAAGCTTTAAGTCATATCTGATGAGGCCTGTGGCAGGGCTCCTGGCTGTTACAATGAGGAGCCGGGCTTCCCAGGGTCTTAGTTGAGGAGTAAGGCTGCTGTGCTGAGGGGGAGCAACTGGGGTAGAAACACCCTGAGGGTTGCAGGTAAGACATTTGAGTGCATGAACTGAGTAATGACAGCAATGGTGATGATAGTTCTTACTAATTGTCAGACATACACACGGCTTCATTTACATGAGTACCCACCATGTTCCCATGTTAAAACAGGTGTTCAGAGAGATTAATTCCCAGGATTTGAACCCAGGCTGTTCGGCCTGAGAGTCTGGTAATGGGTCTTTGGAGTGGGTTTCTCAATTGTTCTGAAAGTGGATAATAAGACTGGTTAATATTTGTTGAGTACGTACCAACTGCCTGGCACCATTCTAAGCACCTTACCTTATCCACTCAGTCCTGACAGTAGTCCCACACAGTAGGTGCCTTTATTTTTTAAATATATTTTTATTGATTTCAGAGAGGAAGGGAGAAGGAGAGAGAGATTGAAACATCAATGATGAAAGAGAATCATTGATTGGCTTTCTCCTGCACGCCCTATATTGTGGACTGAGCCCGCAACCAGGCATGTGCTCTGACTGGGAATCGAACCGTGACCTCCTGGTTCATTGGTCGACGCTCTACCACTGAGTCACGCAGGCTGGGCCATAGTAGGTGTCTTTATTAGCTTTCATTCCATAGCTAGAGACCATGAGACATAAAGAAGTTAAGCAAATTGTCTAAATCAAGTAATTAGCTCCTTTAATAGAGTTAGTATGATTTAAAACCAGTATTTGAATCCAGGCAGCCCCCAAGAATTCACTCGTAATGACTGTTTTATTACATCTTGGAGGATGGATACTCCTTGCGATGGGTACTGTATCCTGGGATGATCAATCAGAATTCATATGGTAAGAGACTCTGAGCAGGCTTTCAGGCGACTTGCAGAACTCGAGAGGGAACAACAGCACATGGAGCTGGGAGGGAAGAGATGTGCTGCCCCAACTTGAGCAGCCCACCACCCTCTCTAGAGCTTCGTTCTCATCAACATATCGAGGGAGGCTGGACTGGTCGATTCTAAGGTTCCTAAAGGCTGAGAGTATTTGGGAAGTTAATTTAACCAAGTTTTATCAACACCATTCTATCACCATGATGGTGACTATGAGAACTCTATGATCGCACATTGCCTTCTGAATCTTAAAAACAAGACAAAGCAAGGTTTATTCAGAGAACTGACTTCATAGGAACTGTTTTTCTCTTCATTTCTTAGGATTTTAGAGGATTACATATCTTCTTTGAACTGTCTTGGATTAGTTTCTTATTTTCTTTCTATTTTAGTTTCCTTATCTTCATAACAAGTAGAATAACAATATTTACTTACTTTGTTGTGAGGATTGAATGTAGCAGTATTTTGGCCCCTAATATTTTCTAAAGCTACAGTATAGAATTTTCCGACTAATTTATTTAAGTTTGGACATTCAAACATGTATTTTCTGATGAGGAAATTCACTTTCTTAGTCTTATTTTTTTTAATTAAAATTTTTACAGTTGACTTTCAGTATTACATTACCTTCAGGTGTACAGCATACTGGTTAGACATTTATATAACTTACGAAGTGATGCCATCAATAAGATTTTCTTAAGCATCTTTCATTCTAGCACCAGCAGTTGGCTTTCTTTTCAGTGCTCCTTTTATTTATAAATAAAAGTAATTTTTTATTTTGTTTTTCTAATCACCTGATCATTTTGATCCCTTGTGCATAATCCCTATCTACCCAAAGAACATCTACACTGCACTGAGATCCTGGGGAGATTCTAGCCTCATTCACTAATGGAAACCTATCTTTCAGAGCATTGGTGCCCAATATTCATACTCTGCCTCTGCAAAATTTTAACTCTCTCTAAGCATATAACATTAATATAAACTATACCAATACATTATAAGATTATGTATATTAAAGTCATATAGTAATACATATTTTAACAATTTATGTACTCATTCTTATTTTTCTTTGTGGCCACTTAGGAAACTTGATATCAAGTATGTTGAATTTGAAAAATGTTCATCAGAAAGTGGAAAGTATATTCATTACACAAAATTATTATACAAACATTAGTTATTATTTTAACTGACAACTGGAACATAAAAAAATGAAGCCTTCTTATTGAACAGTAGAGTATTGTTATCAAGATATGGGCTCTTGAGTCAGAATTACTGGACTCAAGTTCACTACCATCTATATCCCCTTTGATAATCAAATCTTCACTCTCTGTTTATTCATCTGTACAGTGAAGACAATGATAGTACTAACTTCATATGATTATTGAGAGGATTATTTAACTGAATATGTACATGTAATGCTCCTAATAGTATATGTAATACATACACAGAACATGTTCAATAAATGTTAGATATTCTTATTAACTATCTGAAGACTAGCTGATGGCATTTCTTTCTACTTTATAAAAACTTTTTTGTCTTAAATAAGAGATTATAAGTACTTGAACATTTAGAAATAGTGGGAAATAAAATGGAAGCAATTAAGTTCATCTATGAAGTTTTGTTCCTTCATTTAAAAACAGTGGCTGTCATGTTATACTTAGATATTTTCCTGCATAAAAGCTAACTTCTTGTTTTGGACCAGAGCCTTCCCTGTGTAATGGGCTACATGAATGAAAGGAAAGAGCCTTTCTATAAGGTACTTTTCTCTGGAGAAGTCTCAGGAAGAATTACTTTGTGGCACATCCCCGATGTTCCTGTGTCCAAGTTTGATGGCTCTCCTGGAGGTAAGATGACTTTCACATGTCTCCTGAGAACTAGTTTATAATTAACTCCGTGCTTTTCTAAGTTGAGTAACATGGGCTACAAACAGGAAGAAATTTATCATGTACTACTCTGCACTAGATGCCAACATAAATCCCTTATGTAGATTTTATGCAGCTATACAGCCAATATAATACAAAATAGCAGTAATTTAACATGAGTGATGTCTTATTGAAGTAAAATGAATGCTGGCAATAACAGTATAGAGCAGGCTGCTACACCATATTCATATTTTGTATTTTGTCATGTCCATATGTTGTACCCCTTTTTCAACCAATTCCTCTATGGGGATTATTACTGCTGCGTGGAACAGAAAGCACATAAATAAACGAGGGCACTAAAACGTCTGACAATTTGAATGATTAGATGATTTCACATTTGCTTATTTTATTGTTTCTTAGAATAAAACACTGAAATCATCAATGCAAATGTTATTGTGGAGAACTTTCAAACTCCTGAGACGGTGTGCTCCAAATTGAGGAACCCCATCTTACTCTTTCCCCCTTATTCCAAATCAGTTTGTCACCTCTGTGATCATTGTCTGGGGCACAGCTGAATCATGGTTCTTTATACTTGAATTTCCAAGCACAAGTTTCCATTAGTAAATTATTTCACTGGTATCACTTTTAGTGTCCCTGTCCCAGTTGTTTCCAAAATGGTTTATTTAGACCTAGATTAATAAGAAATGAGTTGAGAAATAGACTAAGAGCTTGGTGCAGTGTGTGGAAAAGTTTCTTACAAGCCAATCTTTTTTTTTTTTTTTTAATATATTTTATTGATTTTTTACAGAGAGGAAGGGAGAGAGATAGAGAGTTAGAAACATCGATGAGAGAGAATCATCGATCAGCTGCCTCCTGCACATCTCCCACCGGGGATATGCCCGCAACCCAGGCACACGCCCCTGACCGGAACCGAACCCGGGACCTCTCAGTCCGCAGGCCGACGCTCTATCCACTGAGCCAAACCGGTTTCGGCTAAAAGCCAATCTTAAGAGTTAAAAAAGCATGCCGTGCCCACTGCTGGGCCACTCGATGGTGGCTCTAGGACTTTTCCTGTCTGTTCTACTTACAGCAGCAGCATTAAATGTCCAGCCAACCTTCTTTGTACTTAGAGCCATAGACATTTACGACAACACTTGGTGCTAGTCTAAGTTTTGGGGTTGAGGTTTTCATCGTCACTGGAGCATGTGTACCATAAGGCCAAGGAGGCCAGTGCATAGCGAGGTAGGTTGGCTTTAACTTGCCTTCTGCTGTCCTGGATGCCACGCCTCTCTCACTTCCTGAGCCTGCCCGAGGCCCAGTTCTCATGCTTGGGTGCTCAGCTACATAAAATGGTAACCGGCACTTTTGGTAGCCATAGATAGTTGCCTAGGCTGTGGTACAATTTTGAGATGTTCCTATCCTTGACACTGAAAGAATAAATTTCTTCCCTTTACCTCACACAACTAAAAAAACCCCAATTTTCTTTCTTAACATTGCTAAGGCAAGTAGAGAACTCATGAGATGGGTCTTACAGTTTACATCACTGCAGTAGTTCCTCAGTTCTGTTCAGTAGACCTAAGTCTAAAATGAATGCATTATTACACATTTATTCTTCAAGGCTCTTCGAAGGACAGAGGATCAATAATGTTGTCTTTGAATGAAGACAGTGGATTCAGGAGAACTTTTATGCCTATAGCCCACTATGAGGATAGCAAAGGAGCCTCTATGTATCCCCCAAGGGATGGTGCCTTGATAATATTTTCCCAATCTATGCTGGCTAGATAAACCCAAATTTTTCTTCTTGTATGTTTTCCTCTTAGAGATACCAATAACTACCACCTGGACCCTTCAAGATAATTTTGATAAGCATCATATCATGTCACAAAGCATTATCGACTACTTCTCCGGGTTTAAAGACGGAGCTGGCACTGTGGTGGTCACTTCATCAGAGTATGTCCCAGGTCTTGATAAACTAGTATGTGGCTGTGAAGACGGGAACATTTTCATTACACAGGCTTTGAGTGCTGCCAAAGCAGGACTTCTGGAAGGAGGTTCTCTATTGAAAGGTCGTTGAATTTTACTTAATCCTACTTATTTAATTTATCTAAGTTTCAACTTTAACAAATTGTACTAAGGAAATTGCTGAAGCTTAAAAAGTTTGCTGGCATTTGCTAATAAATTTGTTAACTTTAAAACAGGTATTTTAAAAAGTCAAACAGAAGATTATACAGTGAGAAGTGTTTCTGTCCTTCCTTGATTTTCCTGTTTCCTTCACCAAAGGCAACAGCTAATGCATTTCTCTATTCCTTTCTCAAAAAATTCTGTGCATATATAAGCATATACCAGCATAGCAATATGCATTCATTTAATTAGTTTACACAAATGAAAACATATTCTGAACACTTTACTGGAACGTTCTTGAACAAATCTCAATAAAATATTTTGGAGTACATTATTTGTGAGTTCATTTTAAATGATTAATAATTATCAAATTTTAATTTTTTAAAAGATCTTGTTCAAAGATGTTTAAGTTTTTCTAGGCTTTGGCTACGGAAACAATGCAGAATTAACTATCTTTGCACATACATGTGAGTATATCTATAGTATTAATTCCCAGAACTACTGGATCAACATTTGTTTGAATTTTTAATTTCGAAAATTTATCTAAAAATGTTCTCCAAAGAACATGCACCAGTGTCTATGTGTATTCACTAACAGCTTATGCAAATGCCTTATTCCTCAAGTCTTAGCCAACCTTGTATGCTAGTAAACTTTTTAATATTTGCCAGGCAGTAGAAAAAGGTATCTCCCTGCTTTAATTTTTATTTCTTTGTTAATAAAATCTAAATATGCTGTTCTACATCTTTGAGCATTGCAATAGGGAATACCTATTAAATAAAGATTTATGTAGTAAGTTGTCTTAAGTAAAGGCAGGAAATGTAGGAGGTGATTGGGATTTGGAGATGTGTAGATGAATTTGTATTCTATGTTTTATTCCACAGATCCTACTGGATTGCAAGGTCCTTAATGGTAAAGACCAAATCTCATTGAAAAACACACACACACACAAAATGAACTTTTTGCCTTGTCTGCTAACGTTCTCAGCTTACTTTGGCTTCTTACTAACTTGTGACTCAGTAATTGACTGAAATAGAGCTGTGAATAGCAATGAACCGAACTGAGGAGAAGTCATGTCCTGCTATACAGCTCAATGGCTGCTGTTAAAGTTAGTGAAAAAGCGTAAGACCTTAGCAGTTTTTACCAGGGCTGTTTTGTCTTACCCAGAAAACAAGCAGAAACCTGCATTTGACTAGTAGGTTTTATTTTCACTCTTTTTTTTTAAATTTTCATCCAAGGATATTTTTCCAATTGATTTTTTTAAAAAGAGTGGGGGCGTGGTGAAGAGAGAGAAGTGAGAAAGACACATGGATTGGTTGCCTCCCACTCATGCCCGACCTGTGGCCTGGGATAGAACCTACAACCGAGGTACATGCCCTTGACTAGAAATCGAACCCAGGACCCTTTGGTCTGTGGGCCAAGGCTCTAACCACTGAGAAAACCAGCCTGAGCACTAACTCTTAAAATGAATTCCTATTTATCTTGGTTTGCACAGGGGATGTAAAGTGAGGGCATACCTGATGGAATAGAAGTAACTAATGATTCTTTAAAGACGTAATAATGACTTTTTGGGACTCATTTATATTTGAATAAAGAGAGTTTGTGTTCTGCGGTCCTTTCCAATTTTTTAGTTAGCTAATGAAAGAAGAAACAGCGTGGGGACTGGGTGTCAGTGGCCCTGAGGTCTAGTATAGCTATGGTCTAAAATACCATTTTCCACCAAGTGCCAGTATTAAGAAATCATGGCCCCTATCTTATTTATTTCACACCACAACAGTCTTGTGGGAAGATGTGCTATTATTATCTCAAGTTTTTTTTAGGTGCCGTATCTGTGGCTTAGAGAGGGCAAAACTACTTGTCCATGGAGACATATCTATTGAGTGATAGATCCAGAAAAGCAAAGTCATATTTCTTTAACAGAAAGCTATGCTATTACACATTATGCTGTGCTTTTTCATTTGGATTCAAGTCAGTTAACCTCTCTGAGCCTCAAATACTTCATCTGTAAAACTAAGAGTTGGAACTAGGTAATCTCTGATATCTTGGAAAGCAAAAATGTCCTGTGAAAGTTTGTTTTCCTTTTATGCATCTGGTCATGCTAATTAAAAGTACAGCAATAATGTTCTAAGTTTTTTCTGTAGAGGCAAAACTTTCAGAGTTGTTCACTCTTTCAGTATAGCATTTGCCATTTCATGGCACTGGTGTTGGTAACTGCCTAACGTCCTTAAGGAATCAGTAGACTTTGAACAAACAGCGTTAGTGCTTCACCAGGAATGATCTGGCTTCTGAGGAGGCACTTGCCTTTGAGATGGTCTAAGGATTGTTTAATACTTTTGTTAGCCAATTGCCTCACTTTTGTAGTTTTCCTACATTAAAAATTTATAAAAGACAATCTCAGGACTATTTCTTGAACAAAAATAACTTTTGTATTATTTGGTGTTGGTTGTTTTTCAGATTCCCTTCCTTACAAAGTTCTCAAAGGCCATCACCAAAGTGTTATTTCATTACTTTACCCACATGGCCTCTCTTCAAAATTGGACCAAAGTTGGCTGGTGTCGGGGGACCAGGACTCATGTGTCATCATGTGGGATATCTTTACTGAAGAAATTTTGCATAAATTCTTTTTGGAAGCTGGTCCAGTAACAAGTCTTTTGATGCCACCAGAGAACTTCAGAGTAAGTTCAGACAAATAGTAAAATATGTCACGTAAATTTAAAAGTTATTTAACATTAAAACTAGATGATTTTATGCGTTCCTTTCTAATCTTTTTATATGCATGTCATTATTACAGCTTAAGTAAATAGTTTGATTTTAAAGCAAAGGTTTTCTCAACTCTTGGCTTTCTAAAAGCCAGTTAATTCTAACATACTTACATTCTTGTCTGTTTTCTCCTAGTTTTTAATTTATAATTGGAATAAAATTATAAAAGTGATGACAATGTAAAAAAATTCAAATATATAGGAATTTACAAATTAGAAATTAATTTTTGCCTTCAACAATTTACTTTTATAATACTATTGATAGTTACATTTTCTTTTTGTTAAATAAATTTTTGTTTTTTCTTCCATTTTTTTAACAAATAATTAACTTTAAAAAATTTATGAGCATCTACCTTGTGTGGGTGGGACAAATGGAAATACTTTCAGGTATAATTTTATCATGCAATGTAAATTTAAATTCCACAGATCTTATATATTTGTTAAACTCACCTTTTGAGTTTCCTGAATTTTTAAGTTAGTTAATTGACTTATAAAAATTATTTCTCCATAGTAAGATTATAAAAAATCAGCGTCAAGTAAACATGGACAAAACTTACACTGTGTTTTTTTTTTAATATATATTTTATTGGTTTTTTACAGAGAGGAAGGAAGAGGGATAGAAAGTTAGAAACATCGATGAGAGAGAAACATCGATCAGCTGCCTCCTACACACCCCCTACTGGGGATGTGCCCGCAACCAAGGTACATGCCCTTGACCGTAATCAAACCCGGGACCCTTCAGTCCGCAGGCCGATGCTCTATCCACTGAGCCAAACCAGTTACGGCTACACTGTGTTTTTGTAGTAGATAGAAATAAAGCAATATTTCAGCAATACAAGTAATTTAATAAAACAGTGAAATAAAGCTAACTGGCTTAAAATAATAAACTTCCATGTGCTGATTTGGGATATCTTGCTATGTCTTTTATTTCGGAGGTTCCCCTCCTTTATCCTTTTTTTTAAACTATTTTTTTTCTCAGCTCCAGCATGGTAGTCCACTCCTGACCCCTTTTACCTCTGCTTCACTCAGAGATAATTTAACTCTAAGGATCAGAACCCATTCAAAACAAGTCAGATTAACAAGGGAGGTTACCGGAAGGGCATAAGAGGCAATCGTTATACATATAATATGAAACACTATAGCAAGGCCAGAGCTTGAATTGAAATATAGAAACCAAGGTTACTCCTCGAGTCTCCCTATCTCAGAAGTCTGCTTTTCTGTGATTGCTCACTCCTCTTGCTCCTCCCTGTGCCTTCTTTTAGCTTTATTCAAATGCCCCGAGAAAAGATTCTTATTGGCCTCACGTTTACAGTTGTATGTTCATAGCTGAAGTACATTGGACTGTCCATTCTAGAGGCTGTGGGTTGTGCACATTCTCCAGGAGGTTATCTTGGGGAGGCAATGCCATCTTCCCCATTCTCAAGGCCAGGCTCTCCCCATCTATTCACCTGCCACTTTGTGCTTTTGGTTCCCTCAGGATTTCTGTAGTCTCCTTAAAAAGAACGTGCCTCCCAATGCCCCGTTGAATGTGGTCAGTGATGGGTACTGGGGGATTTTCAAGGGATCCCAACTGGTGCTTTAAACACAGCAGCTGAAACGCTGGCCAGTTGCCTTTGTGAAAGTGGGAACATCCTAATTGCAAGGTGATTAGAAAAGAAACAGAGAAGGTAGAAAAGCCACTACCTGCTTTCCTCCTGTACCACCCGCCTCCCCCAGCCCACCCCACCCCAGCCCACCAGCATCCACAGTCTGACTATTGTATGAATGGTGGGGAGGCACAGAGCTGCTATAAACTCCTCCCTGATTACCTTCACCAGCACCAGCATGGATGGTGTCTACCCTAAACTGCTCCAGGTAACCACAGGCTGGCTTTTTTTTAAAGTATCTTAAGACTCTTTATCCTGTGAGCCTATTTTTGGTCCGTGTGTCTTTGAGACGGAACATTAATTGGGAACTATCTAATGCTGACTTCTTTTATATTGTGTCTACACTGAGTTTCCTGTTTGGATCAGAATCTGTATAGTTCTGGGAACAGCACCAAATCACATTTTGAGGCTTTAAGTGGAAAATACTAGCTCATGATTCCCTTGCGCCTAAGCTTCTGTCTACAAATAGCTTCTTTTTGTGGCAACAAATTAGCTCTGGGGTTTATTTTACTCTGCATTGTTTCCGACGTCTGCCTCACACTGCCTGAATTTGCTGAGTGATGGTCAAGTCCTTCATTTACCTTACAAGTGGATCTGGCCTGGAATTCTCCTTTGTACTTGCATCTCTTGACCTTCCCGACAGGGTGTTGGGTTTTAAATCTACGCGGTGTTTAAAGCTCTCCTCCAGCGTGTTAGGTGGAGGGGTGCTGTAGAATGTCATTTGACAAAATGGGGCTTTAATAAACATTTGACATTAGCAGGGCGAGGGTCTGATTCAATTTTAAAGAAAGCATTTGCCTGTTTACTTACAAAGGATGTTGCTTGTTTGCTCCCCCCACAGCTGAGGAGCAGTCAGGTGGTTTTCTGTGTGTGCGGCGACCACTCCGTGGCCCTCCTCCACCTGGAGGAGAAGCGGTTCCTCTTCTGTGCCCGGAAGCACCTGTTCCCGGTGAAGATGATAAAGTGGCACCCGGTTGAGAATTTTTTAATTGTTGGGTGTGCAGATGACTCCGTTTACATCTGGGAGATTGAAACAGGTAAATTGACATTTTTACCCCTTTTCCATCCTTTACATTTTTATGCATCCAAACTTTTGGCTAGGTGGAGAATTCCAGAAAATAAAGCTGTGGTGGCCTCACTGCTTTAACTTTTGGGTGGACTGCGTTTGATAGCTTCAGGGGAAGGTGGGTGTGGAAAATAAAACAGTGGCCCACGTCAGGTCCTGACCAATGATGATTAGCTGACAGGGCAGTGCACAGGAATGAGCCGGATATTTCTGGAAGCTATAAATAAAGGCATACCTTATCTACTTTAATTATTAACAAGAGAGAAATTTAGTGTCCTACCAGTCTCAAATTATCATTCAATTCTGCCTCCTTCAGCACACTCACCGTCTCAGAAACATTTTGAGTTAATTGATGACCAGTAACAATGGAATATAATTAATTACAAAACTCTAAAAAGTTGAGTCAAGGAAACTGAAACTTGAGTGGCTCACCTGAACTTTTGATGTCATAGTGAATGTATAGTTTGAACCTTCAATTTTTTAAAGAAAGTTTTGATATATAACTCGAGAGTAACACATCTCAGGCAAATGCTGGGAGCATATCAAATAAGGCAAGGTAATTAGTAAATGAATCAGGGGAGTACCCTGGAGAGTACATTTTACTGAAACCATTGCATGATATTTATTGATTAACCAGTGGTGGTTTTATGTCAGGTATTACTAACAGATGGATAGTTTGTAATATTCTAGTTTAGAGCTGTACGTCACCAAAATAATTGCTACTTTCTTTACATTTGACTCTCCTGTGTTAATAATGATGGCTAATGTACTGGTTTACAATGGGTGCAACGTAATACACCTTATATGTGTACCATGCTTCATAGTTTTGACAGGATTTCATGCTTGTTTTCACATTAGATTGTCACAATTCTAGGATAGAAAGGAAAGGTCTTATTCTCCATTTTATTGATGTGGAAGTTGTAGCTCTGATGTATAAATGTGCAACCAATATGAGGGCCCTTGTTGTTCTTTGCACAATATACACAAAATTAGGAGAGTTTTCGAGTTCTTACATAACCTATCAACCTGAGAGACAGTTAAGTATAATGCATAAAATAGACTGTAAAGTCCAGGCTTGCAAACGGGGCCTGATAGCAAAGATCTATAAGACCTTGGCAAATGACTTGGCTTCTTCACATGTCAATTTTCTCATCTGTGCAGTGGGAGTCATAGTTCTGCCTTCCTGTTAGGATTAAGTGCAATTCTTGCAACAGAGCCTATAGGTGCTAAGCCCTTAGTAATCCTATCTAATAAAAGAGAAACATGGTAATTGGCGTATAACCGCTACCATTCCCATTGGCTGATCAGCGAGATATGCAAATTAACTGCCAGCCAAGATGGTGGCCGGCAGCCAGGCAGCTTGAAACTAACATGAGGCTTGCTTGCTTCAGTGACGGAGGAATCCAACGTTCCCCGCCTGCCGCTGCAGGCCTCTGAGCTGGCAGATTGAAACATAGTTACAAAAATAGATGCTAAACAAAACCCCAGAAACCAGCTTTCAGCTAGCCGGGATCTCAGACCTGGAGTTGATACAGAGTTTCGATTGTAGAACCTAAACAAACCAGATACCTGATTTCAGGAGCGGAGGCCTAAGAGCTGGAGCCTCAGAGCTAAAGCTGGCTCAGAATAACAAGAAAAAAAAGAAAAAAAGGAGCAGTTGGGAGCTTCAGTCCCAGCCTGAAACAGCCCTCAGCCCCTCACCCAGACTGGCCAGGCACCCCAGTGGGGACCCCGAAGGGTGTGTGACCAGCTGCAAACAGCCATCATCCCCTCATCCAGGCTGGCCAGGCACCCCAGTGGGGACCCCCACCCTGATCCGGGACACCCTTCAGGGCAAACCAGCCAGCCCCCACCCATGCACCGGGCCTCTATTCTATATAGTAAAAGGGTAATATGCCTCCCAGCACTGGGATCAGCAGAGCCGCGAGGTCTCCCGGCACCGGGATCAGCATGACAGGGGGCAGCGCCCAAACCCCCTGATTGCCCTGCGGCTCTGTGTGTGACAGGGGGTGGGGCCACAACCTCCCTATCGGCCCTGCTCTGTTAGTGACAGGGGAAGGCACCCCAACCCCCTGATCGGCCCTGCTCTGTGCCTGATAGGGGGGAGCTCCACAACCTCCTGATCGCCCTGCGGCTCTGTGTGTGACAGGGTGCGGTGCCCCAACCCCCCCACCCCACGGGCCCTGCTCTGTGTGTGACGGGGGTAGAGCCATAACCTCCCCATCGGCCCTGCCCTGAGTGTGAGAGTGGCAGTGCCCCAACCCCCTGATCTGCCCTGCTCTGTGGGTGATAGAGGGCGGCACCCCAACCCCCCCACCCCACAGGCCCTGCTCTGTGTGTGATGGGGTAGAGCCATAATCTCCCCATTGGCCCTGCCCTGAGTGTGACAGTGGCGGCGCCCCCAACCCCCTGATCCGCCCTGCTCTGTGCGTGACAGGGGGAAGCTCCCCAACCCCCTGATGGGCCCTGCTCTGTGCATGACAGGGGGGAGCTCCCCAACCCCCTGATTGGCCATGCTCTTGCGTGACAGGGGGTGGCGCCGCAACCTCCCCATCGACCCTGCCTTGAGTGTGACAGGTGGCGGTGCCCCAACCCCCCAATCGGCCCTACCCTGAGCGTGACTGAGGGTGGCATCGCAACCTCCCAATCCGCCCTACTCTGTGCATGACAGGGGGCGGCGCCCCAATTCCCCAATCGGCCCCGCTCTGAGCCCAACCAGGGGCTGCACCTAGGGATTGGGTCTGCCCTCTGCCACCCGGGAGCAGGCCTAAGCCAGCAGGTCGTTATCTCCCGAGTGGTCCCAGACTGCGAGAGGGCACAGGCCTGGCTGAGGGACCCCCCCTTCCCCCCAAGTGAACAAATTTTTGTGCACCGGGCCTCTAGTCTATATATATAAAAGCCTAAGCAACTGTTATGACGAGTCAACCGAATGACTGGTCACTATGACATGCACTGACCATCAGTGGGCAGATGCTCAACACAGAAGCTGCCCCCTGTTGGTCAGTGCACTCCCACAGCCAACCTCCCATGTCCGGCCAACTTCCCACCATCCCTGCCCCCAGCCAGCCGCCCCGATCGACCCTGATCAGGACTGGGTGAGAGGGCCTTGATTGGTCCCAATCACCGGCCAGCCCGAGGAACCCCACCCATGCACTAGGAGGGAGGGATGCTCCCTCAGCCCAGCCTGTGCCCTCTTGCAGTCCAGGATCCCCCAGGGATCGGGCCTAAGCTGGCACTCAGACATTCCTCTCACAGTCCGGGGCTCTCGCAGTCCAGGACCCCTCGCTCCTTACTGTCCGCCTGCTGTGGAGTCAGAAGAGGCTCACGCCACCTCCACTGGGCTTGCCAGCCCTGAGCCCAGCTTCTGGCTTGTGGGGGACGGGGAGTGCTACTCAGCCAGAAGCCTGGCTCACTGCTCCTTAGTGCTGGCTCTGCCCCCCGCCCACTGGTGTGGGGGGTGATCTAGGGCGAGACTGGCCCTGGGAGATGCCGTGGGAGGTTGAGGTGCCATGGTCGCACCCTGTTCTACCTCTGCGGAGGCTCTAGGACCATGCCCCCCCTCCCCCCTCCCCCCTCCGCCTGTGCGAAAGACATGGTGCCAGAACCTGGACAATGCAGCCCCCTCTCCTGCTGCCTCTGTGGAAGGGGTGACGAAGGGACCAGGCCATGCCTCAGCCTCTCCTGCCCACCTCTGTGGAAGGGGTGATGCAAGGACCCGCAGCTGCATGGGCCCAGTCCCGGCGCTGCCTGTCCCATGGCTTCTGCGGAAGGGGCAGCGCCGGGACCGGGCCTGCGCCTTAGCCTCTCCCACTGCTTCTGTGGAAGGGGGGATGCTGGGACCCCCATGGCTGGCCTGGCAGCGCAGGCTCACTGGCGCCACCCCCCGCCCACTGGTCATTCCAGTTCGGCTGTCCGGTCTAACTAACATATTACACTTTTGTTATGATAGATTATTATTGTCATTAACGTCATAAAAGAGTGTGGCAAAATCTTGACTTCTGCTTGTGAAGTCTGAGTCTGTAGAACACATGCACTTATAAATATGTGCAGTTGCATTTTTTTCCATCGTGGATACTGCTAATAAAATATTTTCCCTGGAAAATGGAGTCAAGCTAAAATACAGCGATCTGTCCTCTGGACAGAGAAGAGGAGGGAAAGATGGAGTGGACTGTCAAATGGACAATAATCATCATAGTGGCCATTATGGATACATCATGCTTTAACTAAGGAATCTCCTACAGTTGGTTATTTATATCGCTTTCTATAGAACGGTTTTAGCCTGGCCAGTGTGGCTCAGAGGTTGAGTGTGGACCAATGAACCAGGAGGTCACGGTTCAATTCCTGGTCAGGGCACATGCCTGGGTTGCAGGCTCAATCCCCAGGGGGGGACATGTAGGAGGCAGCTGATCAATTATTCTCTCTCATCACTGATGTTTCTATGTCTCTCCCTCTCCCTTCCCCTCTGAAATCAATAAAAAATATATTTTATTTAAAAACTTTAAGAATTGTCATATCAAATAATATGCACACATTTTGTGTGCATTGTTTAATATTAATAGTTAATTAATGTGCCATATTAACTTATAGAATATTTGTTTCAAATGAGACAGTGAGGCTCTTTATCTCTTGGTTATTTACATTAAGTTTATAAACAACTGTAACTCAACCTAAGATGGATCTTTTTTTTTTTTTTTAATATATTTTATTGATTTTTTACAGAGAGGAAGGGAGAGAGATAGAGAGCCAGAAACATCGATGAGAGAGAAACATCGATCAGCTGCCTCCTGCACATCTCCCACTGGGGACATGCCCGCAGCCCAGGCACATGCCCCTGACCGGAATCGAACCCGGGACCCCTCAGTCCGCAGGCCAACGCTCGCTCTATCCACTGAGCCAAACCGGCCTCGGTAAGATGGATCTTATTATAGGTGAAAATATTATTAATCATTGTATCGATGCCTTCCCATTTGA